ATCCCTAACATTTTGTTTGCCTTTTTCTTGGAATCCACTGCCAAGCAGGCTGGTCCGTTTCCCCACAGCTCCACGAAGTACAGCGGTGACAGAAGTAACAGGCTGGCAGGAAGAAGTGGGTATTCTGTCATCCTGCCCGTTTACAGCAACAGAACATCGGGTGGAAGCTGGTATTGAACTGACTGCTTCAACCTGATTTGTTAGCACCACCGGAGCCAAAGAGTGAGCTGTCATGGTGACTAGGTGACAATGCTGATACCAGGCCTCTTCTTGGGTCTGTGGACATTTCTGTTCCTGCCCCCGATGTTTTGCAATCTAACTAGACTAGTTGGAGTCGGGGAGAATTACTGCCCCATGCGTATAAAGGAAAAACAAGGGAGAGAAACATTGCATTACTTTCCAAGGTCCTGCAGTGACTCTGTGACAATGCTGGGAAGTAAGCGAGGCCACTCCAGAGCTCCAGTCCTGGGCCTTTCTCCTTTCTTGCTGTGGGAGCCTGTTTAATCCCAGTTGCTCTGCCTTCACTCAGGGGTGGATTTGACCTGAATTCTAGAGTTCATGTCTTGGAGGAAGGAATTTCAGGCCCTAAGTCCAATTCATAAAGGTAGAGAAGGCAATTAGTGATTTCCTCCCACATTTCCATCAGTGGGCCCTGGCCTGTGAAATGGCTTGTTTAATACAAGAAACATTACCATTTGGGTCTAGAAACCTTGAAGGACATGAAAAGCAAGCTGCTTGTACCTTGCTGACTTTGATGGCTTGATTATGCTGACCTCATGGTAAATGGCTTCAATGCCTATCATTTAACATGTTTCATTCCTATTCGTCAGAGGCCTTTGTCATGCAGTGGGTCTGTAAATAATGCCCATTTAGCTCATTTCTTTTTCAGGCCACAGAGGTATTTCTGGGCCTTTCTCTTTCACATGCATGTGATTTCTCAGCTGAGATTTTCTGTCTGGCAGTGTTACAGGCTAGAACCAAGTTCCCTGGGCTGCCCTATGTCTTGGAGAGCTTCCCTCTCACTGCTTCACATGAGATAGCCCAGAAGCAATTGTGCAAGGGCTCCTGCTCCTTTTAAGCTATTGCCCATTTCTGTCCTGACAGATTCGTTCTGTCAAAAACCAGAGAGCAAGTCCTTTGGAGGTTGTTAAGGTTTTGGGAGCACAAGCAGCTGTCAGCTCTGGCCTGGAAGTCTGGCTGTGATGTTCTGGCATGGGGGATTTGAGAACGTATGGCAGGCTCTATTTGTAACCTCTAATGCTCCCAAGTGAGCAGGGCAAGCATACTCATTACAGGATGGCTTCCTGTACCATTCCTTTGGCAGAGGGACCTAACTTGCAGGTTGCATGTGGACACAATTCTTGAGACTCTTTCTGTAGCATGAAAAACTCTCAAAACTGGAAATTTTGTAATATGCAGAAACTGGGAGCTTAGCTGATCCCTTTATAGACACTGTTGTTAATTGTTTCCATTATCAGTAGCAGCTAAGGACTCCACACAGTTCATGCATGGCTACCTGCAGACTCAGACATCAACACTGATACTCACTCTGGATCCAAGGCTTGACCTTCTCTCTTCCTGAATGGGTCTGATCAGTATTGCTTTGTCAGTTGCACACAGTTGTGTAACATGATTAAACAGCTTTTCACTGTGTGTTCAGCTCTGCACGAGCATTTATTTTAACAACAGCTACACCTGTTCTGACAGATTGTCAGGAATTAACTATTTATAAATAATGTTGCTTTATTACATGCTCCTGTAAGTTATTAAAGAGATTTGCTACATCTTGAATATTTTATACCTACATATAGCTTCTTTAAAAAAAAAAAACGTTAAAATTTAAGAAACAAAACTGTTCAAGTAGTTTAAGCTCCCAATTTTCCAGTGCTGATGTATGTGCAATGTTTGCATGTAGAAGAGATGTAATACCTTGCGTTGGCTCAGATCTGAGAAGTTGTGCCATTAATTGATAATCTTTTCTTTCTCATTTTAAAAATATAAAAGTTCTGCTTCCCCACTCCTGAAACACTACGAGTACTAGAACTAGGCAGGGAGTGGATTTTCCCTTCCTGTGAAACTATGTGAGCTCTGTCCTGTGAAGTATCGGGGTAGTGTCCAAACTTCTTTGAAGTTTTTCATATAAAAAGAGAGAGCGAGAATTCCCCCAGGGCAATGAGTCTCCTGGCACTCAGGGCTTTCCTGTGGTGTGTGGAAGACCCACTTTTGAGTCTCTACTCTGATTGAGACACAGTTGGGACTCCTAACTAGTGAGCCCTCTCCCCAGTGACAGCGCTAGCACCAGGTGCTGGCTGTTCTAGGAAACCAAGCCTTCCCTCTTACTCTCACCAGGAATCTTCTCCTGCTCCTGAGAAACTTTTCCTAAACCAAACCTTTTGTTGACCCTAGGATATTTCTGGCAAACTTTGTGGTTTTGATGGACTGGGCTTTGACATGTGCGTGCACACACACACACGCATGCGCACAAGCACATAGACACCCAGCCTGCACACATGCACACTCATTGGAAATTTCCTAATAACTCTGCTCAGTGACCACTCACGAAGTAGCTGTGCTGTCTGTGTGGGGGACCATTGCCCTCTAGAGGTACACTGCAAAGCTCTTGTAGACTACCAGTCTCTAATGTGAGCTGCTTTTAAGTTTGAGGATACTGTGAGCTTCCCTTAAGGAACACTTGTGTAGGGTTGAATAGAAAACCAGGGCTTTGGAAGTCTACAGGATTTTCCCTGTGCCAGATAACCTTTACATTTAATGGTTTCAGTTTTATTGTTGTAGCTGGACTTTTTGGAAGCCTATTTTCTTCATTCCCACTACATTCAATAGGGGTTTTCCATCAGGTTTGACTTCTTCTGTACGCTTGGAAGGCCATTTCCTTGTCTTTAGATTAGTCAGTGACATTGAATGCTGCTTTGTTGATGGTGTGTTGGATGAGCGAGAAGTTTGTGTGGCCACATTAGTGAATTTAATGTCTAATGACTGTAGGTATTTTGCTTATGAAATAGAGTTGCAACTAACCCAGCTAATAATGCCTACCTCCAAGGACCCTGTTGAGTAGTTCCTGCCTATCACCATCTTCTGCTTACTTCAGACCTCTACTTTTTTCTGCCATTGTCATGGTTACCTCTGTTGTTCGGGGGTTCCCTTTGCTGTATATGCATCAAGAGCAGCACGGTATGAGGTGAAGAAAGGCTGGGGCTTGTGTTCCCAGCAGGTACATCAAATAAGGGAATCTCACCAAAACTCTGACCTGTAAAATGCTGTAACACATAAGACCCTATGTTCTGTAGTTTGGCCCAAAGCTATTAGTATCTCCTATTTTCACTGGCTGAAGATATATGTCAGAGACCCTTTTTACACTATTTAACAAAGCTTCTCCCTACTACTGCATTTCCTTTTCCTCACACCCAGAGACAGGATGAATGTGATCGCAGACTGGGACAAATCTAGCTAAATTCTATTTAATTCATGTTACTTTTTACAATACCCGAAGATCTGATTCTGGCCAAGAGTACAAAGAAGGTAGAAAAGAAGAGCACGTTTCCCTCTGTCATAATATTTTGTCATGGGTTTTTGTTAGTCTCTTACATTGTTTATGTAAAAGCTGTTTATGAAGAAAAACATCTCTCTCATTGATTCCATTTAGAAATCTTTCTAGTTTGTTCATAATGAGATTTTATACTAACTCTTTTTATAATTCATACCCTATACAGAGGGATAATCTATCATTGCAAATGAATAATGGAGTGTGGCAGTCTTTGAAAATGTAAATTGGGACTTTGGAGGGAGAGGTGTTTAGCAGCCTAGTTTGTTGGATTTTGTTAGGTTTTTTGTAAAAATTGTTTATTAATGACTTCAGCTTCTATAGCCGAATGTACTCAGTTAATGATGATGCCAGGTGAAGAGCATTGTCAGAGATGCAACATTTTTTTTCTGTCTCAAACATGGAGGAATTGGAGCATAAAATGTACACAGGTGATGGCTTTTCAACTCAAAGGATTTGTTTTCCATTATAGAACAATGTGCATTTAAAAATTAGTTCTTTTTTTTTTTAAAGGTCTATATTCTGTGCATTCACATTTATATTTTAATTTTATAATAATGGTTATTTATAAAAATGTTCTCAACCCACAGACTGAAGTGCATGAACTTGAAGCACTGTCATTTTAGAGATTATAATTAGCTACAAGAAAAGCTTAGAAAGGTTGTTCTATACAAATTAGAATTATTGTAGACAAGACGCTTAGCAAGCATTTTGAAAGTCATTCTAGGTTAGGTTTGGAAACAGAACTCTACTTCTGAAGCGCTCTAGTGCCTGCTTTTGTGCATTCTTTTAAACCCAGCAGTCTGGGCAGTGTTTTGTAACGCAGTCAGTGGTCCCTTCCATAATTACTAAGTCCCAAACAAAACTTGGTGAGTCTATGCAGTCTTGTCTTTGCCCAGTGGCCTTGATGAAAGATCCCCTCAACAGTTGGAAGAAGCATGTTGTATCTTTTACCATGAGATATCGTAGCAATACTATGCATTTTCAATCGTGCATCTACCACTCCAATAATGAGCTCATTCCAGTTCACTTAGCTAGTCAGCAGCTCAGTGAAGAAGTAAATCCCATTCCACACCTGTCCTGCAAATCCTGAGGCACAAAACATTTAGATATTGATGCATGAAATATGTTTAAAGTCACTCAGGTTTAGCTGTGATGAACAAGATGCTAACGTTACTGAAGACAGGTGCATAGCACCTTGCATGGTACCTGTCAGCTCTGAAAGAGCTTTTGGGTGATCAGTGTACCAGCAGAAAACATCAATCAACATACTTATGCTTGTGGTTTCCAGGGTCTTGCACTGCAATGATCGGGGGCATTGGTATCAGCCTGACCAGTTCGTGTTGTTGCACTGGGATGGGATACACAAACCTTTGTGGTCATGTGCAGCCCACTATCCTATTTGCTCCCTCTCCTTAGTACTTCTCCTTTGTCCCCTTAGAACAAACTGGAGGATGATGTAGAATCTGGGGAAGACTCAAGCGGCAAACGACACAGCCGTTCACTGATGGGCAGCTTTTCCAAGCGCAAGGTGAGTTTCTCAGCAGATTACTTCTCACCCTGCAGCAGAAGGAATCATCAGGCTCGCAGGTAGGAGGATTCTTTTTGCCTCAGAGAGAAACGTAACTGCATCACTGACAGGCATCATCACATTCTTCACTGGTCAGGTAGACAGGATGACCAGCTACCTTTCTTTCTAACTTGCTTCACTTACCATCAAATGCCAAAGGTATCCAAGATTCAACCTGAATGTTATTAGTTACTGCACCTCCTTATATAGCAGCTTACTGCAAAATGGTTTAGAGAAACAAAATATGAGATAACCCATTCATTATACCCCCTTTGCACAGAGTAATAATAGTAACAGCTTTAGGGATTTCAGTTGGGGAGCACCTTTCACTGAGAGATGTACAATCCCATATCAGAAGGCTCTGACCCCAGGCTGCCTCCTCCATGTGTGCACAGATCAATTCTGGCATATTGCAGAGTCTTGTACAAAGCTGCTGTTTGCCAGTTTCTCAGAGTGAATTGCTTTTGAAATAATCAAGCAGAATTGTGTGTGGCAGTCTCTCTGGCTGCTCAGATACCAGTTTTTCTGTGTGGCACTAACAGCTAGGTAACATTTGTATCAGATAAGTCCTTGTGCCAAGGCTTTCCAGTATGGTTACTGATTTTTAGCTATCCTGAACTCCAGGTGCCCAACTTGAAACCTTCTAAAGGGACCTGCTTTCCAGGCAGATGAGTGCTTGGTCCTTTCTCTAAATCAGGACCCTGTAAAGTGCCAAGTTTGGAACCCCAAAAATCACTAGCTTCTTGAAAACCTGGGCCCTATGTTATTTCCTGACTCACTTAGGCACACTGCTAACATGGCCCTGTGGCACGTGAACAGTTAGTACCAGCTACGTGCGTTCATGCTCTGATGAAGGATGCAGACAGAAATGCAGCTCCTGGGTCTAACTCATGGCAATTCACAGAAATCGCCATGAGTTTCTAACTTCCCTCCTGACCCAACAGACCCCTTTTCCCCTAACCCAACAGATGTTCACTTTTGGATTGGGAGGATCAGAGCTGATCCAGGGAGAGAGCCTGCGCCTTCCTCTACTTTTCTCTGTCTCTTCCCCTGGCTCCACCCCACTCTCCTTTGAGCCTTGTTGCTGTCTGTCGGTGAGTGAGTGAAGAATGCAGGGGAGGGAGGTTTTCTGGGGTTTTCTCAGCCCCACTGGAGTGGGAGGGTGGGTATATTGGAGCCCCCCTAAGGTAAGAGGGCACTCCAGTGGGGCTGAGAACCCCAAAAGGGACCTTCCTTCCCTGGCTTCTCCCCCTCCCATCCAGAGACAGCATCTGAATCTATCTGAGGAGCAGACAGAAATTAATGAAGTCTCTCTGCTTAGGAGTGGATTCATTTGAATCTTTATACAGTGGAAGTTAATTTGTCACATTATCAAAGGGCTCTGCACAGCTTTGAATGATTCTGTTTGGGCACAGCTTTAGAGTGATTTCAAGGAGCCAGTTGCACCACAAATGTCATTTCTGTCTGCATCCAAAGACACCTTCTCTCCTCTCCTTCTCTCCCCTCCCCAGAGTTTTCTCTGGTTTTATTGTTCTTTGATCTATACTTGATGTCCAGTAGAAAGTAAACCATGTTTGCGTAGTGTGCCTGTTCTGTGTCATGGATTTGTTTTTCTTTTACATAGAAAAAAGGAGGCAAACTGAAAAGGGCATCCAGTCTGGAAGAGGGAGAAGATGACTTGGACTCTCAAGGAAACTTAGCAAGGGGCTCGGTACATTACAGCAGGTTGGTAACATGGATCCTGGACAAGTCAGTGCTCTGTGGTGGTGTGTTCATAAATGTAGGAAGTTAGGGACCAAGTCTCAGCTGTACAAGCCAGTCTGTTGAAGGCAGACTGGAACATGTGCTGACTGGGGTGAGAACCTCAAGCAAAGGAGAAGAATCAGGGCATTATCTTAATGGTGATTCTTTGGGATTTAAATGTACTTGGAAGTAGAAAAATATTTAGAATGGAAACGGACAATAGGGCATGAAACAGCTGATCATGTTCCATGGACTTCTATAGACATCTCCAGATGACATGCCCAAATGTACCCCTGCTTTCAAACATCACCCCACCCCATGTCAGGGAGCTAAGGAATCCCCTACAGAGGGATTCCATCATGTGCATATCTGCAAGCAGGAAGTGGGAAACTCGTAAGGGGATTCCTGCTTCTACACTTGCAGATGCATGTGGGGGATCCCTTGCAGAGGGTTTCACTTGCATGTGTGTCTGCAAGCACAGAGGAGGGGACTTCCCCACTCCCTGCTTTCAGATACTGCATGTGGGGAAATCCCTCTACAGGGGATTTTCCCAGTATGCATCAGCAAGCCAGGAGGACAGAACTCCCATAGGAGTTCCCTGCTCCCTGCTTGCAGATAGTGCACCAGGGAAATCCCCTGCAGTGGGATTTCCCTAGCATACCTATCACTGCTGCACAGATATGCATCCTGTGTTGGAGTGAAGCCTTCACTTTCTCTTTTTACCCAGACATGTCCCCAGAGATTGCTGGGATGCATCTGGGTAAGTGAGAAAAGCGAGGCAAGTGGTCCACGGGCTTGAGGGGGCCAATCCTATCCAGGAATTCCTGGGGTGTCCAGGACTGGGCCCCTCAAGTCTCCAGAGCCCCTGCTCTAGATGGCTGGAGATCACAGGCAGTTTCACGCTGCCCATTTTGTCCCGCCATAAACAAATAGATATGGGCTGCAATGAAGTGGCTCAATTTATTGTCAGCCTTTTATCGGGGACACAATTTTCAGCATTTGTGGCATGACAGAAGGTATAGCTGTCTGTTTGCTTTCACTGTATGTCTTCATAAACATTTGTATGGTGGCACAAAAGTAACATCTGGGCACAGACAATTTTCACCTGATCTGCCCCCAGAAAGTGGGCTATAGCTATGACCAAACAGAAGTGGATGGTTGCAGACTACTTTAAAAGGGCCCAACCCCACAAAAATCTGAATCCTCATTGCATGAGGGTTCAGAAGAACATGCTCCAAAATGGAGCACATTCTCTAACTTGTGTCTGGAGGGCTCCCAGCCTATTGCTGTTTTCAGAATGGGAGCAGAGAAAGGGAATGGAGGGAATTTAGTCTGGGATTTTTTCAGCTGGTGCTGGAGAGTGGGGTGGGTGGATTGGAGCCCCCCTGAATGAGCTCCCTCTGCTACCTTTCCCCCCTCCCGTTCTGAAAACAGCATCTGCACTGGGAGTGGGGAGTGGAGCTGCTGCAGAGACTGGGCTGCAGGCTTGTAGCAAGCAGCTGCAACCCCCAACTCCCAGACCCAACAGCAAACTTCTGTTAGGTCTAGAGAATTGTTGCAACCCATAGCACTTCCTGCAAAGTGCTATGAGTTGCATCAGAGAGCTGCTCTTTTGTCTGCACCCTCTATTTCCACCCTTAAAGTCCCTAATCAAACCTTCTGTACAAGGTCAGAGTCCTTCCAGCGTACTGGATCTGAAAGTGTAATTTCTCCCTGGAAAATTAAAGTCTTTGTCTTTATCATATAAGAAAAGGAGGCCATTTCCCTGTCTTAATTCAAGAGGTAGTTTAGGCAGCATCATGTGTCTTTATAGTGAGTCTCCATCTGGTATTTCTATATCCATTACAGCACTCTGCTTTATTCCCTACATTTCTTTACCCTCCCATGTAAAGTGGGTTTGTTTTTTCCATCCAGGATGAGCCGTCAGAAGAAAACAATGAAGCTTTCCCGTGCTCTTTCTGATTTGGTGAAGTACACAAAATCTGTTGGGATCCATGATGTTGAAACTGAACGTAAGTTGAACTAAATGTCTTCTGAAAATTAATTGCTCTATATGGAGTTCAGAAACTGGCTTGAAAGACTTATACTGGTATGCCTTTTTCTTAACTACAAATTGGTTCTTTTTTTCCTGAAGGGAATTTGACAGTAAAGTTGCATGCAATCAGTTTGGGGCATTTCAAAGTGGCTGAGCATCTGAGTTGACTTTGAATCTGCAAAATGAATCAGAATTTGTGCAACAACATAATTAAAGGGGATAAAATTAACCACAGGTAGTAATAACCCATGCAGTTGCTGCCAGTAGGGATTAAAACTGTCCTATGCCAATTTATGTCCTAGGAAGCAATTAGACACTAAACAGACCTCCATGCTGCTCTCAGCCAGAATTTATAACAGTTTGGAGAGTATTGTCTACATGAAAACTTGTTTTCATAGCAGTAAGGAAATCTTCAAAGCTTTCCATAAATTCTGAAAGTTGAGATGCAGCTTTAAACCTGTTGAAACTTCAGCGTTATGTTGCTTGGGAAATTTCTCTGTGCTTAACCCTGAGTGGAATTCAGAAGTGTAAATGCCACCCATGATAATATGAAAAGTAGGGAGAGCAGGTCTTACCCTCTCCTTAAGCATCTTCACCCTCCAAAATTTGGTTCAAGCAATGCATGAAGGATTAGGTTCCTTGTTATACCTGGCTGTTTTTCCCAGCCTCATGTCCTCCATGGATGGAACATAGCACAATGACTTGGCTGCAGTGAAAAAGAGCAAAACACATCTATTCAGGGTGTGTTTACTAGAGAATGATGTGTAATTGAGACTATGTTGTTAGAGGCATTTTTAAAAGGAAAGGCCTTCCCTCCCATTTCTTTCTGTCCTTGTAGTCGCTTCCAGTTGGCAGGTCTCATCTTTTAGCGAGACAAAGGCCCATCAGATACTCCAACAAAAGCCAGCACAATATCTACGCTTCAACCAACACCAGTTGTCTCGCATCTACCCATCTTCTTATCGGGTAGACTCTAGCAACTACAATCCCCAGCCCTTTTGGAATGCTGGCTGCCAGCTGGGTAAGCAGAAAAAATGCATGTTTAATTTCTTTTCAATAGGGGGTTATTTACTGTATGGCTGAAGAACGAAAACCGTGTCTGGATAGAAAAGCAGGACAGAAACACATTCCCAAACCACGCTTGGGTTATCTGTGTGGCGTGAACAGTATGGGGTGCTACTGTGCAGAGACACCTGTTTCACTGCGCCAGGCCCAAAACCACGTTTTGGGAGTCTCCCCTGGGCAACCTACAGCTGGCTGTCCTGCTTCCTAGAGAACACCCGCAAGGGGCAGATCAGGGGTAACACTCCACCACCCAAGCACTGGTCTCTGGTAAGGCTCTGTGCAACTCGGGGCACACAAACCCTGCAAAACTTGGGGGTGTTTTGCCCACAGTAATATTTCTGGGTGCTTCTTTCAGCCTGAAGCATCCAAAGATAGCTTCAGGTAACTGAAGGACAATAAAAAGGCAAACTTTGCTGGCCAAGCTGGGAGCAAAAGGCTTCCTTTTTCTCTGCCCACAGTAGCACAGCAAGGCATGCTGTAACCCAATTCTTTATTAATCAGAGAGAGGCGGGAGGTGTGGGGGTTAGAACAAGGAAGTCAGAATACACTTTGAGCAAACATAAGCAATGCGAGTCTTTTACAGGTAATTGGATACAGTAATCCTTTTAAGATGTGACTGGCCTAAACATAATTCTTAACTTCTGGCCAGTTTCCAGGGTTCTACTTACAGCAAATCACAGGGGTGTGTTGCTTGTGGTGTTCCAAAATGCCCACCTCCAAGAAGCAAGTGCTCCCCCCTCCCCCTAGGAATTTATCTGGCCAGGTAACCTGGTTGACCAGCCTGAACCAAAAAGAAAGCAAGGAGAGAAAGAGAGGTGTCATCTGGTCAGGCCCAAGTGAGAGGCAGAGAGAGAGGGATTTTTTCATGACCTGGTCATCCAGTTGTACCAGCATTTGGGCTTGGTCAGATAGCTCTATGGTGCTAAGTGAGTAGGATGATCGAGACATTTCTAATATATAGTGGGGCCTGGTAAATGGTAATGAATATGGTCCCTGTAAGCAGCCCTACAAGTAGGTGCTGAATTGACAACAATCTTCCAGGAAACCTCTCTCCTCAAGCTGACATGCCTTTGGTCTAAGAGGACATAATCATCCTTCCTACATCCCTGGGTCTCTGCCACCAGAAAAAAAAGGCTTAAAACATATGTAGGTTTACTTGCTCAAATTGAGTACTGTGAAGGGAGATGCTGGCAGCAACCTGCCCTAGTGTTTGTGCCTCCTTCTTTGCAACAGTTGCACTAAACTACCAGTCAGAGGGGAGAATGCTGCAGCTGAACCGGGCCAAGTTCAGTGCCAACGGGAATTGCGGCTACGTCCTCAAACCAAAGTGCATGTGTCAAGGTAAGGAATAGCCTGTGATGGGTGCCACTGCATTGAGGAAATGAGGGCTTATGCCAAGGAGACTCCTTACTATTTAGGGAAGCTTTGAAGCAGAGCCCGTTGCTTGGGGACTGTTGTTTGGGGGTCACAGAGAGCTGTGCAGGTGCGGTCCTCTTTAGGGCCAGACCTTTTAGTGTACTGAACTCCTTTTAACACATGCAAGAGGAATGTCTCTGGAGAAAGCATCAAGCAGGGAAGGATGTATTCTGGGCTCCAGTGAAGCAGGTTTGAAAAGTTACGTACCAAGAAAAACACCTCCCTTTTTGCTTTGTACGTTTCTCATTTATTCATCACTTTCTCACCCTAAACCCTTTTTCTCAGAGGAGTGCAAAATATGGCCCATGGGCTGGATCTGGCTTGCCAACTGGTTGTATCCAGCCCACACTCATGGGATCTGGCCCGTGGGCAGCCAGGGGCTCCAGCTCTAGCTGCTTTGGATGGGGCTGTTTCTAGCCCTCCAGGTGGGGCTGTTTCTACTGTGCCAGGTGGGTAGGCAATACTGCTTCCACTCAATGCTAATGAGGCGGCATCAAGTTGTGGACCTTGGCAGATGCCCTGTGGGCACCCAAGGGCTTTGTCTCTGGCCACTGCATGGTGCTGGATAGGCAAGGCTGTTTGTGCTGTGCCAGGTGGGCAGGTGACACTGCTTCGACCCAGTGCTAATGAAACAGTCAGCTGGGGCATAAGCAGATGCCCTGATCCTCACCTGGAAACTGCCAGCCACGTCTACAGCTGATGTTAGCAACCACCAGGGGCAGCTTCTACCTGGCAGGTCCTGGCATAAGCTGTGGACACGGCCAGCAGGTTCTGGGTGGGGTGAGAATTGGGACATGCTACAGTTCTGGATGGCATAGGGATAGGGCAAAGAGAGAAGTGTGACCCTCAAGAGGACACCAAAATGCATTAAGTGGCCCTCCAGCCAAAATAAATGCCCACCCCTGCTTTATCTGCTCTCCTGGATGTAACAGATAATGTAGCCTTGGGCTCAGGGTTTAAATGCCATTTTAGGGTTTAGGTTGTTTTGTGTAAACAATTCACACATTGCTTCATTGTTTTGATGGCTGCAAACCTCTGGACTTGGAGTAAATTGAATTTATTATCATGCCTTTCTTCTTGCAGATCCCTTCCCCTTCCACTGTTTACTGTAGTCAGTCCAACACTATGCCATGTTTAATCTGGGCTTCAGAATGCCTAGTGACTCAGTGACTTTAACTCCAGCTTACAGCCAGTTGATTCATCTTCTTTGTGTTCTAGTATACATACAGACTGATGCAGTGGAATGCCTTCTAGCATCTTAGGTATTTGGGGCTTTCATTGTATTGCAAATAATTTCACCTCAAGTCCTCATGTGTGGTGTACAAAGCAATTTAGAGAGATGGGAGTTGGCTTAAAATTCAAATCTGGACCTGGAAACTGCAGGTGTTCATTTCCAAGTTTCATCCCCCTCTCTCAGTCCTACCAGCTCAGTACATTGCTTCCTTGTGGTTAATTTGGCAACATGCAGTGTTTGCAATTAAGATTTCTAGAGTTACCTTTGGAAGCGTTAATAGTACCATGGTGCTTGCTGTACTAGTAGTGCTGTCTGATTGTGACAGCAAAACTGCAAAGGATTTGATGGCTGCCATTATGGTATTTTGGTGTTGTATCTGTAGAGATGCATGAGGGGATTGGTTGGAAACAGGATTTCTGTTTTTAGAGCAAAGTAAGCCCTGAGGAGGCTTCAAGAACCAAGTCACTAGGTGCCTGGTTTGCTTCTTCCACTGTCCTCCTTAATGTTGTATGGATTCTTGCCCTCCCAGGTGTCTGTAATCCAAATTCTGAGGACCCACTACCTGGTCAGCTGAAGAAGCAGCTTGTGTTGAGGATTATCAGTGGGCAACAGCTCCCAAAGCCACGGGACTCCATGCTGGGAGACAGAGGAGAGGTATGGATCTGAGGACTGGTCTGGTGCTTGTGTTTGTGTGTGTTTGCAGACTGACAGGGGTGAGCCTGAGAGTCCTGACGTTCTGCAGTTCTTTCCATGGGGAGAAACTGAACTTTCTGACAAATAGATTAGGCAGCCCCTGAGTTTCCAAGAGCACCAGGTGCTTTTCCTGTCTCCTGAGCACTGTGGAGCTAGTTTGTCTTATTGTCAATATAGTGCCTCCAGGATGTACTGGGAAGGCCAAGATGCTCAATCATCGTGATGGGTCCCTATTCACAACAATGCTCTGAAACTTCCAGACAGAGCCAAGCAAAGCCCAGAGCTTCTCTGAAAGTACATAAAACTGCTGAGCTTGTCAGCCAAGACAAATGGGGCTACTTGAGTACCTCTCTTGCCCTCTGCTTGTATGAATACTGCTCCCAGTCCCCGCTTTACCACAGAGTATTGTGCCTTCTCTTTCCCTCTTTGGTTTTGCTTCTGTCATGTGGTTTTGCAGTGGTTTATTTTGTTTTTATAAAGCTTCTGGCAACTTCAATTGAGGAAATATCAGCCGGCCTAAAATGAGCCAAAATCATGCAGCCTCTTGACAGCCTTGGCCAGGGGTTTATTTCTTGTACTGTTCTGTGTTATTGTGCAGCATCCCCAGTGTGACTGTTCAGTAGGGCTGTGCGAGGCTTCGGACAGAGCTTCAGATCCGGAGAAGCTTCGGACTCTTTGGGGGCCAAAGCAGCCCATCTGGGTCGAAGCGCTGCCTCGTTCTGCTTCCCAAAGCACTTCAGAGCCGCCTCGGAGATTCAGCCGTAGTGTATAATGGGGAAACAAAATATCTATAACTGTGTCCGATTTGGATGAAATCTTCAGGGCTGGTAGACTCTGCAGAGAGCATGCAGCCTGCCAAGTTTCAAGAGGATCGGTGCAGGGGTTTGGGGGGAACGATACCCCAAATTCTTGAAAGCAAAACTCCTGTCACGTCTACGTGTTACAACACAGGGGGGTCAAAACTGCATGGGTGGTAGCTCTTACTGCAGTCACAAAGCCTGCCAAGTTTCAAGGAGATCGGTGCAGGAGTTTGGGGGGAACTGCCCCGCAAGCTGCGGACAAGCAAAACTGGTGCCGTGGGTGCTGTGGGACTGACTGTGTCTGTCTTGGGGCGGGGAGGAGAGACACCAACCACTGCAGGCCTGGCTACGAAGCTGCTGTGTTCCCAGTTACCAACCAATCAATCATGATTCACTCAGGGACCAGGGACTCAGGGCCCAGCGCAATACACATAATGGACCTAGGTACCACATAATGACTTAACGAGCATCAATTAGCACCTACAAAACTAGGCTAAGGAGAGGAAACACTCAATGCAGACAGTCAACTGGCCCAGGACAGACAGTCTTGGCATGAGTTTTGCCTGTCAGCAGCTAGCGGTCCAGGGCCCCAGAACCCCCCGCACTGATCTCCTCCACAGTTGTCACGTGTTGTGGCCTCAGCAGGGGCTACCATCCCTGCAGCTGTCATCCTGCTGTGCCTTAACACACGCAGGGTCACCCATGGCACGAGTTTTGCTTGTCCACAGCTTGAGGTGCAGTTCCCCCCAAACCCCTGCACCAATCTCCTTGAAACTTGGCAGGCTTTGTGGCTGCAGTAAGAGCTACCACCCCTGCAGTTTTGACCCCCCTGTGTTGTAACACACAGCCGTTACAGGAGTTTGGCTTTCAAGAAGTTGGGGTACGGTTCCCCCCAAACCCTTGCACCAATCTTCTTGAAACTTAGCAGGTTTCATACTCTCAGCAGAGGCTACCATCCCTGCAAGGTTCATTCACATCAGACAAAAAACAACAACGTTATAGATATTTCATTGATTCCCCATTATACCCTATGGCCAGATCTCTGAGGCAGCTCCAAAGCTTTGGAGCCGCTTCAGCTGGATTGAGGCAGAAACCCAGTCCAGAGCTCCGGATCAGATCGCGGCCATCCGAAGCGGCTGGATCCGAAGCGGGATCGGAGCACTGCCAACTCGCATAGGCCTACTGTTCAGTGCTAGGAGAGGGTAGCCGACCGAGCTGGAGTTAGAATTCCCCTCAAGCCTTTGCCGGTTAGCAGTAGAGCTGAACCCGGCTGAGTGGGTCTGAAATGCTTGGACCTGATACAGCGTTTGCAATGACTTTGAAATACTCTTCCTAAAGGTCTTGTCCACTAAACCGGAGCACACAAGTATCTGTCTCAAGGGCACAGAAAGGCTGCACCAAATCCATCTAAGCATCCAGATGTGGGCTTGCAGTCTCGTTCCATCTTTCTTGCTCCTTTCTAGCATTAAGATGCCTGTGACTGCCTGCGATCCAAAAGATGAAGGATTGCCTGTGGCAGAGGCACCAGGCTGGAATTCATTTTATCCTGAGAACCAGGGTAGCTTAGTCTGCATGTAGATCTGTGTTACCACAGCTAGGCAGTACCCAAGCTACCTCAGGTATCTCTAAACTACACCACAGTGTCCAGCACAGACATATTCCAAGAAGCACAAATACTGTCAAAAGCCAGTGGGATATGAAAATCCTACTGTGTGTTTTATTTGTATTGTGCTATATTACCTTAACTCCCAGTCCAAAATTGGAGCCTTGTTGTGCTGAGAACAAGGCACATTACAAGAAGAGAGTTTCTGCTGCAAAGCCTGTTGAAGAGTAGAGCTATGGGGACAAGATAAAATGGTTCACTGATACATTGAGCAGCCATTTGTGTTGAAAATTGAAATGTCTTAAAAGCACTAACAAAAAGAGGAAAAAAGACTTGTGTTTTTCTTAGTAGCAAAGTATCCTGTGAGTTTATAGTCTGGTCTGCAGCAAAGATTTGTTTTCTGCAGAACACCAGAAAGCTAGCATACAAATATTAATCTAGCCACTGTCTTTCTTCTTCTTCTTGTCATCCTAACTTTGTTGGTCCCAGATTTAAGATAGTTCATTATCAGTTGTGTTAGTTTTTTGGACAACAGTAACCTGGAAAACTCTTCTGTCCTCCTGAGAATGTATTGTCTGAGAGCATACTTTCTGTATTCAGTGATCAGCATACCGCTACTGTTGATCAGGATACATGGGCAAGTGAAGACAGACACCATGATGGATTAGGTTGCAGACCGCAGCTTCTTTGGTTTCTTTCTCATATTTTGTTTCCTTTGTTTTTTGCAGATCATAGATCCATTTGTAGAAGTGGAGATCATAGGGTTACCAGTGGACTGCTACAAAGAACAAACCAGAGTAGTTGATGACAACGGTAATCCCTTGTTTTTTGGTTTCCCCACAGCCATCTGGAACATGCTCAAGCTGGAAGAAGCTTGAAAGGGTCATTTCTAGGCGTAACCTCATATCAAGGCAAAACCAGCCAAATGTGGGGCCCATTTAAGCAAATCATCTACTTTGGGTGGTGCTTAATCATGTTCTTATGTTAGTGCATCAATGAAGAATAGCCTTAGGGAGGAAATGTGGTGTGGTGAGGATCTTGAGGCAATTTCTGCTCTATTTCCTGATGCCGTTATTATTTGGAGAGTATTCAAACCTGAAAGGGATCAGAGCAGAGGACTGGACACCAGCAGCTTTCTAGGATTCCTCTTAGCTCTGCCAGTATGTAGGCTTCTGAAAAAGATAGAAATATGTATAGGAGTGCCACATCTCACATTTCTCTCACAGCTTCTGTTGAAGTTTCTGGGAGTTCTGGATGTGCCAAGAACACAGTATAGAGTCCTTAGGGGAAAGTTACCCAGATTGATCATCGCTGTGTGAGCATCACAGGCACAGAACAATACTTAATCCTTCTGAAAAGGTCTCCACAACAGGTTATCAGACATTAAGAGCTGATTCTCTCATTCCCAGGTTTCAATCCAATGTGGGAGGAGACTCTGGTATTCATGGTGCACATGCCAGAGATTACGCTTGTTCGGTTCCTGGTGTGGGATCACGATCCAATTGGGCGGGATTTTATTGGACAGAGGACGATAGCTTTTAACAGCATGATGCCAGGTAAGCCAGTAGTCTCTGGTGGTGAAATGCCAGGTGCATTGGCTGCTTCAGTTAACGAAATGCCTTTATTCAGACAATTTTACAACGTCTCTTGGGTGTGTCCAGGCATATAAACAACTGTGTCAGGGAATCAAGGTGAGCTAGTGGATAGAGCAGGAGATAGGGTCCTCTAGCCAGGTATGTCACTAAATACTATGTGACAATGATCAAATCATTTGACCTGAGGCCAGATTTTCAAAAGCACATGATGCCTCACTGGTCCCCTTAACAAACCAACTTCTCAGGCAGGTACCTAAATGGAATCTGCTGTTGAGCTCTTCTGAAAACATGGGGCCTGGGGCCTCACTTCTCTCCTTGCAGCATGGGGGTAATGATACTTGCCACATCACATGCACATTATGCAGTTTAATTAATGAGCACTTTGAGGTGTTCTGACTAAAAATGCTATTGGGTAGATCTGCAAAAGACCAGCAGGAAATTAATGTGCAAAGCATGCAGGACTGGAAAGACTACAGTGCAGAATTGTTTCTTTCTTGTCCCTTTGTGCTGCTTTTTCCCCCCTTCAGTGCATTATTATTAATTGGCACCTGCCTGGTTTTAACACATCAAATGAAATGCAGTGATTTTGTAGTCAGTGGGGCAAACTTCAAAAACCTTCCTAAAAGAAGTTGGAGTCTTATTTGGTCTCATGTTTTCTGGCAGTTCACCAGTGGCTACAATTATCGTCAGTAATAGCTGAATGTAAAGTAGGCAGCCAGTTGTTTTGTTAGTGAGGTCCAGGGGTTTTTTTTAAGCTCTTTATTTTTTTCCTGTCCATTTCCTGCTTTTTGTGCAATCCTATTTCATATAAAAGCACGCTGTGTGTGCATGTTTTTTTTTCTTTCCTTCAAAACAGAGGAAATGAAAGTTTTATTTAAAAAAAGAAAAAACCCATCTGAGTAAAGAAACAGATTGTAATGTCTATTTCAGTGTTAATAATGGGCCCTGGGTCCCTGTGAGAGAAACTAATCAATTCTAAATCACAGAATTGACAGCAGCAATAATGGACAGTGGGAAGAATTGGGTGTAGATTTCTTTTCTATAATAAGAAAGAGACAAGGGGAAATGTTGGTTAACTTTGTAAAATGGCATGACTCTTAGACAGATTGAGTGTGGTGAGGTGATGAACAAGTCTGAGCACTTAGCAGCTGGAGGAGCTGAGAGAAAGCTTGTTTTTTCTTTCCTAGTTGCAAATGGAAAGTCTCCAGCAGTTCCCTCTGTCACTTCTCTCTCCTCCCCATCAGCTCCACTCTCTCTGTTTCAGGCTATCGGCACGTGTACCTGGAAGGTATAGAAGAAGCATCCATCTTTGTTCATGTAGCTATTAATGACATCTGCGGTAAGGTGAGTGCCTTCAGCCTAATGTGATGTGGCCTGCATTTGTAACTATGCCAGCAGGGGTCTGTACCATGCACGGAGAGCCCAGGGTTGGGGATCCAAGCTAATATGTTTTTGGAAACAAAACAACTGCATCTCAGAGTTGTACAGAAGCCTACGTTCTTCCTCAACACGCATGGCATAAACTGGTGGCATAGCCAGTCAACAAGGAACTTTCTGCCTTGCATGAGCAGCATATTATATCCCTCACGCAGTGCTTTTGTTCTAGGCAGTTTCTCCTCCCTGTGACTCCTTAGGGCCAAATTCTGACTCTGTTCTTACTTAGCACTTACTTGCTGTGAGTGGAATTTGGCCAGATGTAGAGCTGGAGTAATTGTACTGCAATGTTACCAGCTGTGTAGTTCAGCCTTTTGTTGTCACTGGGGATTTGCTTGAGATGTGACCTTGGCACCAAGTGTCAATGCTGCCAGACATGGCAGAACAAATGGGAGATCTGCTTTCTCACTGAGTAGGTCCCCCAAGCACCTGAGTGTGCCTCCCAGCTGTGTAGGAAACAAAAGAGAAGGCAGCCTTTAAGCCCAGAGAGAATGTGTTGCATTCTCTGGTGAGTGTCCAAAATGGAATAGCAACATGATGCTTGGAGGATATAGTATTTCAACATTTGGGAATTTAGATAAGCATATATGGGTCACTCTAGCATATTAGGTTCTCATTCCTTGAGAAGAAGAAGGTAGCCCTGAACCACTGGGTGTTTTCTGGCTGTAGAGTTTATTCTGCAAATGCTCTCTCTCTCCGTGAGGCTGGTGGATTTTAAACATGCCATTAATGGATTACCAGCTTGGAGACCTGCCCCCACTTCTGCACCTTTATTTTGGGTCTGCTTTAGTGCAGAGATAGCTGGGGTTTTCCCTAAGCATTTCTGGCACTCAGTACTCCCTTCACATCTCTTGGACACATGCCCAGTTGCTAGCTTGCTTCACACGAAGGCAGAGTACAACTGTCTTGAATCCATGTTCCAGTTTCATGTGAGCAGTTCCCAAGTTGAATGTAAAGCTGCAGCTTCTCTCTTCCCCAGTGTATAGTTGAGTTGACATATCTCTGCAGTGCCATATCTCCCGTTCATTTTAATGTCAGGTGTGTAGTTGAATCCCTTTCCATGCTTTGAATATCTCGACGTTGGTTTGTGTCAGAAAACAAGTGTCCTGCAGCATCGGGGTGCGATACAAGCTTTTACCAGTGGGAGGCAGCATTGAGCAGCCTGGGAGAGCTGAGATTGTTCCAAAATGCTGCTGCTCATCGTAGGGCAAAAAAATAGTATCTGGATATGGTGCTTTTCAAGCTATCTTCTAAAATAGTGGAACTGGAGAAGGAGTTGGGACAACTCTGGGCAAAAGTGCACTTCAGAGCATGGAAGGAGAGAAGTGGAAGGAGTGTCCTGCTAGGTATTTCAGCAAAAGCTACTAGAAGGAGAGGAGTTCCTGGTGTGTCTGTATGTTTGTATTCAGTGGCTAAACTAATCACCTTCTGGCAGGTACAGTTTCCACCTGACATTTCTGGGAGCCTGGTCTGCTGCATTTTTCTCCAGAATGAGCGTAGCTCTGAGGAGTGGGAGAGTTTAATGCTGTGAGTGACAGAGAGGTGGCTGCTGCTGAAGAATAAGATTGATCGTAGCTGAGAAGCCCCCAGTCAGTGTTACATGCTCCTGTTGTGTACAAAGTTTGGTAACATCCAGATAGGGTAAAAGTCCAATGAATCCCAATTTCTAGAAACTCAAGGAACTAAATGGCAGACTGAGAATAGTAATTATGTTGGGGATGATTCTGCCCTGGTTTCCTGCTCCCACCCCCCTAGAATCAAGGACGGGTAGGGAACCATCCAGCTCCTTTAAGCAATTTGAGGCACTTATGAAATTAGCCTCTCCACTGAAGCTTGAATGGGCATGGCTTGGGGTCATGGCCTCATCTGGTACTTTGCCTGGGGAAACACTCCACAAACCTGCACCCTGCTTAGAGACAGCATGAATGGGCTTCTTCCGCTTGATCTATTTCTGGGTGGATGTCTGCCACATTCAGAAGCCCATTTAGCAGCTGCTCACCACCAGCAGAATTGGCCTTTCCCAGCCCCTTTGACTTCCCTTACTTCCCCTTCCTCCAAAAGACAGACTAACAGCTGCTGTTACCTTTGCTCCAAACCCAAAGCTGGAGAGGAGACGGCCAAACAGTTCCCAGTGCTATGGACTGTATCAGACAGGCCAATGCTGAACTGCAGAGAGCTTCATGTATTACAGTAGTAACATACAGCACTTAAATCCTGTCCCTCCCAGGCACAAGATAGTACTTAAGTATGGCAAACTCTAGAAGGGTTGAGGGCAGGTTCGTTTGTTAAAGGCAGAGAGAGAAGAGGGGGCACCTTCAATTTTAATTTTTACTAGTGGGTTTGGGAGCATTGGGATTTTTATCAGTGGTGCCCGGTGATTGGGGGAGGGACTCTTCAGTTCCTGTTACCTCCTAACTCACTCCATCTTTGTGGGATCCACTTCACACTTGCCCATTTCTACACTAGTACAAAAAAGGGACATGCTGGATTCTGTCCATTAGTAGGTACCAAAAGTAAAAACAAAGTTGCAGAGTTGCCACACAAAGAGGAGGAGAGCCTACAACACCAATAAGCTCTGGGTTTTGCATGTGTAGCGAGGCAGGCAAAAGACCTTGTGCCCCTTGGAGTTCCCTTGGCCCTTTTAGCTTTCCAGCAGTCATTGAAGAGGCTCCCCTGCAATTGGGTGAAATCCCAGCCTCAGTGGGGAGAAGTTTTCAACTTTTCTTCTTTTCATTTTTTAAAGAAACTCTTCTTAAATGTGCTGATTTTATTATATGGTCCTAATTAAATGCAGGGGAAACGGAGAGGAGAGTCTAATTAGAGCAACAGAAAGACTGAAATAAACAATAAAGGCTTTTCTCAGTTCGGAGGGAGCCAAGGGGAAGCCAGGCACTGTCTAATCCTATTGCCAATTACTTGAGGGGAAAGGCTACTTCAAGTGCAAGTGTTGCATGGCAACAGCCACAAGGAAAGAGGGGACAGAAGAACCCATTTTGCCCACCCACCTTCCAGGAACAGAGGGAGTGAAGGGGGAGCAGTGAGAAGATGAAGAAAGCCTTTCAGTTCCAGTGAAGCTTCTTTCCAAGAGGCTCCTTTCCACCTGTCATGCATCCAGTCCTATCTTGGGCACTTTCTGCTGATGGACTAGCACGTGCTTGCTGGTTTTGTATTCTGTTGTCCTGATTCTTCAATGCACACAAGATGGTTCTCTAGCCCCGATCACCTACAGATCAAGTTTAACTGCCTCCACTCAGTGCAGCCTAGCGCCTTACTCCAAGACAGTAAGATGTCCAACACTGGAACCATTCCTCATCTTTGTGGAAGTTACCTCTCACCTCAGCTGCCTTTTGGGTTGACTGCTCCTATGAAACATTTTCTTATGTCTAAATTCATCCTCCTTTCCTTGAAAGTGTTTTCTCCCTTTTAGTGCCTCCTTGGTCACTATCTCATAATTACTCACTGCTCTTGGTTTCCACTTGAGTAACTTGCTGATGGGTAGTTTTAATTTGCAGCAGGATGACACATACCACTTAAACCTTGACAGCAATTTTGGGGTTGTTGGATTTTCTCAGAACACTGTCTTAAGCAAGTAGCTTATCCTTATGCACATCAGAAGACCCCTGTTGTATCATGCTGTCTCATCCCTGTCTTTATCTCCTTGCTTCCAATTAACTGAACTGATTCGTTTTCTGATTGCTTTATTTCCTTTTCATGTCTTCAGTCTATTACACACTGCTTGTTGCTTCTCATTACCACCGCAACCTGTTTAGCTTTGCTGCAATTAATATGCTAATACTGTGTTCTAACCTCACTATGGCACAGCTTGATAATGAGCCCATGGTCACTTCCACTTCCAAATACTTTACTACTAAACAGTGTGAGCCCCTTGCACAACCCTGCCCCATACTTGTGTCTTTGGATTGCTTTTTGCTGTCCTTAGTTCTGTAGTGCCTTCCTGTTTATGCAGTCCCACGGAAACCAGTAAGGGCTGTGGGGAGAAAAAGATTCAACTTGGTGAGAGCAAGAATGATAGACCCTGACTTCTGGCATTAGTTCCAAGCTCTTTTAAAGACTAGAGTCACTAAGGCAACTGTAGCCTCCTTATGAATGCCAGCCCTTTGAGCTTGGGCTTGAACTTGTGCTAGGATCCGCCTGTATCATTTGCTGTGCAGACAGTAGTGGGTGAAGTCTTCTGTACTGTAGTCTCTTAATGCTATTGCTCTGTTCCATACATTCTGTTTGGGGATTTGGTTCCTTATGCTTAGACTAGGGGTAAATCATGAGGTGGTATAAATCAGTGCAGCTTCACTGGCTCTGGTGGTCTTATACCAGCTTACCCTCACAGGGGTTCTGGGCCATTGACATAGTGAAGCGGTGCTGTTTTATGTAAACTGATGGGAGAACCTTTAAATTGCAAAGAGGTTGATTCAGTATTTTAGAAAAGGCTCTGACTCTTCCCCTCTATTTGTTCCTGGATTTACAGTGCAAGTGGAATTCCACAGGCATCGGCATTGGGTGGGCAGCTGGACAGCACACAGATATCTGTGCAGTTACATGGCCCCAGGATTGTATGCAAGAACAAAATTGGAGGCATATAATGAAACACTTTTAAATAGACTTGGTTGAAAATGCTCATTGGTGGTTGTTATTTATTTCCATCCCAAAATAGGGAGTATTCTCAGACAAACAACAACAGCTAACAGATATTCCCCCCCCCCCC